GCCAAAGTTTTGAATCAGCTTGAGTAATTTGGGAGTGGAGTCTATGGGATTCTTTAAATACAAGATCATGTCATCTGCAAAGAGGGAGAGTTTTACTTCTTCTTTCTTACGTGATATGTTTTTTATACCTGTGCCTGATACAGAAATGATTTTAAAAATTTTTTATGAAGCCGGGCGCCGGTGGCTCACGCCTGTAATCCTAGCTACTCAGGAGACTGAGGTCTGAGGATCGCGGCTCAAAGCCAGCCTGGGTAGGAAAGTATGTAAGACTCTTATCTCCAATAAACCACTAGAAAACCAGAAGTGGTTCTGTGGCTCAAGTAGTAGAGCACTCGCTTTAAGCTGAAGAGCGCAGGGACAGCGCCCAGGCCCAGAGTTCAAGCCCCACAACCAACAAAAGAAAAAGAAATAGAAAAATTGTTTTATGAATTTTATTTCACTGTAAGAAAGATAAATGTGTCAATCCCATATTGATTCTAGCAAGGAAAAGACTACCCATTCCTTTAAAATTATTTCTCACTGTGGCTCACATGTGAGGGTGCTAGCCTCAAGCTAAAGAGCTGAGGGACAGCACCCAGGCCCAGAGTTCAGCCCCCAGGACCGATAAAAATAAAAATAAAAATTAATTAATTAATTAAATTATTTATCTCCTCTCACCTATTCTCCTTTACCACTATCAAAACATCCACTTCATGCTGTCCAAGACCTGAAGTATCCACAATGGTTTCCCATTTCCTTTCTGGATAATGTCCTTGCTCCTCTGTTTGTAATCCTAGCTGGTGCACTTTTGTTTCTGTCCTTTTACCATTGCATAATGTAATGTGGTCAACCACACAACCACACAACTGCTTTAATGCATGAAATATGTCTTTTCTTAATCTCTCAGAGTACTTTACCCCCATTCCTCACCTCATTCACCTACATCCAACAAGATCATAAAACCAAACAGAACAAGTGGCACTTACCTTTGCGCTCCCATAGACTTTTTATATGAGTATGTTCTCTTGGTACATTATTTTAGCAACCTGTGTAAAACTGTCTTGTGCCTAAAATATTTTTGTCATCGTAGAAGCAGTGACAAAATCTAGTTCCAGGAACACTGTCTATGATTAATAATCAAGCACACAACAAAAGTTTCTCTGTCTTGGTGGG